CACACAGCCCCCAACTGCTTCCAAAGGGATCGTGTGCAAGAGATATCGCAGGATGTGCCAACCTGCCAAATCTGCAACAGGAGAGGACATTCAGCGGATACATGTTGGTATGGGCCTGGAAGTTCACGAACGCGGCCACAGAGGACCGAACGAGTTATCTGTCAAGCATGCCAGAAGGACGGGCACACGGCAGACCGATGTCGGAGCGTACTACGACCCAACCCGACGCCATCCCCAGGGACGAAAACATGTCGGTATTGTAAAAAGGAAGGACATGTAATAGAAGAATGTAGGCGTCGGGAATACAACAATAGCAGGAATATAGACCAATCGGGAAACGGGATCGGCACTTCAGGAATGGGTGCACCAAGGAGGGCAGCGATGATCCAGCACCAAGTACTGCGGATCGGAGAGGACGACGAACTTTCCAACAGCGAATAGTACAAACGGCAACTATCAATATAAATAAGGAAAAACACGTGCCAACGATTCAACTAGTCTACCAAGAAACCTCACCAATAAATCTAATGTTGGATTCGGGGGCCGACCCTAACATAATAAAGATTGGATCAGTGGAGAATCGAGAACAGATAAATCCTAATATTATTTTACAACTAAACGGAATATCCCCTGACCCGGTGTTTACATTAGGAAAAATTAAAATAGAAATTTTGGGAAATCTAGTACTATTCCACGTCGTACCAGATACTTTCCCGATAACTGAAGGTGCAATATTAGGTTCGGAATTCTTCACCCAGACAGGCGCGGTAATAAACTACGCGAAAAGGCGACTCGAACTCCAAGGGATTAAGGTACCATTTGCAACTCCGGAAACCATGAAGGTACCTGCACGATCAAGATCAATAATTTACGTTCGCGTCCAAAGCAAAGTGAAAGAAGGGTATCTGCCGAAGCTCGAAGTGGGGAAAGGAATATACCTGGGTCAAGCTTTAGTAACCAATCACAACGGGAAGGCTTACCTCGAGGTATACAACACACGGGAAGAAGAGATTGAGTTGATAATCCCAACATTGAAAATTCGCGAAGTGGATGAGATCGTACAGCTTGCGCAGCCGCAGAACCAGGATCGAAAGCCAGCTCAAGACCAACGATTAACACAGGATTCGGAACCCGCACTGTGTATAAAGGACGAAGGATATCAAACTTCAACTAAACATGGAAACTTAGGCTTTATTGAAGAATGGGATAAAACCCCTACCCTACGGAAAATCCATTGCATTCGCCCGGAAGAAGATTCCAACTTCAACCACTCCCAACACTCGCCTAGGGGTACTAGCAAACAACAAAATCAATATTTTAGCTCACATCCAGGCTCAAATTCAGATGTTACAAGTTCAGAAATGAAACAAAATTACAATTTGCGCGTCGTTATCGAACCTGATTACCTGGAGCCGAATAATATTGGAAATGTGCGTACGAATCCTTACCCGAGGGCCGAATCAGACACCCACCTTGATCACCGCCCCAACCTTAAATCAAATTCCGACACTAATCTCACCCTTAACCTAGAGCAAGCCAACGTTAAAACTTATAGCCAACGGACATCGCATCAGGACTCCAAGGTCCCCACCGAATCCCTCCAGACGAACCCTGCAGTCCACAAAACCAACCGAATTAAGAAGATCGAGGAAATGTTGCGACTTCAGCACCTGAATGGAGAAGAGAGGTCCCATGTTCGAAAATTAATACAAGCAAGTCAGGACCGGTTTCACCTACTCGGAGACAAATTAGGGGCCACAAATGTGATATCACATAAAATCCCTACAACAGACGAACAACCCATAAATACGCGTCAATATCGTTTTCCACAAGTACATAAAGAGGAGATAAATCGTCAGGTGAATGAGCTGATAAATGGAGGTGTTGTGAGGCCGTCTCAGTCTCCATACAATACGCCAGTCTGGATAGTGCCTAAGAAACCAGATTCCCACGGAAACAAACGATGGAGAATGGTGCTTGACTTTCGGGCGCTAAACGATAAGACAATCGGCGACGCATATCCACTACCGAATATCACCGATATTCTAGACCAACTGGGAGGAGCGCAATACTTTTCCGTATTCGATCTAGCTTCAGGATTTCACCAGATCGAAATGAATCCAGACGACGCACACAAAACCGCATTTTCTACACCCTTCGGCCACTATGAGTTTAATCGAATGCCCTTTGGTCTAAAAAACGCTCCAGCTACCTTCCAACGACTAATGGATATAGTCCTTACGGGTCTTCAAGGCGTAGAACTATTTGTGTATTTAGACGATATCGTCATTTATGCATCCTCACTTCAAGAGCATGAAAACAAATTTAATAAATTAATACAACGCCTCCGCTCAGCAAATCTGAAATTGCAGCCCGACAAATGCGAATTTCTCCGGCCCGACAAATGCGAGTTTCTTCAAAAACTGCTCGACCCCTAACCAACCTATTGAAAAACGACGTAGGCTTCACGTGGTCTGCGGAGCAGCAGCACGCTTTCGACACATTGAAGGAAAATTTGTGCGAAGCACCAGTTCTGCAATACCAGGACTTTTCTCAACCATTCATTTTGACGACAGATGCATCAGGATATGCCATAGGAGGCATACTCTCGCAGGGAAATATAAACCAGGATCACCCGGTAGCGTATGTGTCGAGAACGTTGAACGATACGGAGCTTAAGTACGATACCTATGAGAAGGAAGCCCTGGCGATAGTACACTGCGTAAAACATTTCAGGCCTTACCTGTACGGCCGTAAGTTCACCTTAGTCACAGACCACAAACCCTTGATGTGGTTTAAAACAGCTCGTGATGCTAACGCACGAGTTTTGCGCTGGCGCCTAAAACTAGCAGAATACGACTATGATGTCATTTACAAGGCAGGAAAAACAAACGTCAACGCCGACGCCCTTTCAAGAAACCCTGTAAATAAAGAAGGAAAGAAAAGAAACAAAGTGTTTACGATCCAGCGAATCGAAACCCGCGAGCTGGAAAAAATTCGGCGGCTACTCGAGGAATCAAGTGAAACGGAAACGGACGACGAAGGACTCGCCCCGCCGCCACAGCCTAAAGTGACTTACAGCATCAAACGCGTAGGGCTACCCACTGAATCCGACCCGCTGGAGGCAACAGCGAACGTCCTAGTAACCCGAAAATATCCAGCCCATCAAATGACCACCAGAGGGAAAGCCAAACTAAACCAAGAAAATGCAGAAGTACCAGTACCTAGCGCAGTACCAGAAACACTGTTACAAAATCCACCAATACCCTCGCAAACGCGAAGGGAAATCGAAATCCCCAATGTCAAACCCAATCAAACTCAAAGGAACAAGGTACGAAACCCAAATCCAAAAGACAAATCCAAGAACTTAAGTCCCCGATACAATTTGAGGAAAAGGAGGGAAGCTGAACTCGAAAATCTGGCCAGAAACAAGGAATCTTCGGATAGCGAAGGAGAATGGCCGAAGTCAATGAATAAAAGGAACAGAAGTACCCACTCTCCAATAAGACCAGCAATTTCAAGTAACTCTACTGAAGAGTTGGATTTAGAGGACGAAGTACAAGCCGCAGGAATCCCAGAAACCAAGGAAGTAACGAAGTCCAACGTAATCGATTCAAGAGAATCCTTTCAATTTAGGAAAGACAATTTAACCTATTTTATTACCCAAACAGGAGAAGCATGTGACACCGGATCCGAAAAACTATTGGAAAGAAATGAATTGCCCATAACACTTGACCTACAGCCGGGAGAAGTCAAGCTCATCAAGAAAAATCACCGAAACTTCTTGCCCGTTTGCATTAGTGTCGATAAAAGCGAAGGGTTGACATCCACATTACAAAATATAAAACAAGGGATACAAAATCTAAGGGAATGTGTTGAAAGAAACAACCTACAATCATTCAGCATCGCAAAGGGACTTGGGGTCAATAAAGTCCCATGGGACCACGTGATTACGGAATTTCGCAAAGGATTTCTGGGATCAAATGTGAAAGTAATAATTTGTCACGGTTTATTAAATACGCTGCTAAAGACGATCGAAGAAGAATCCTAGAAGAACTCCACTGTACACCCATAGGAGGACATAGAGGTGTTACTAAAACCTATAATCGTGTACGGCAAACCTACTTTTGGGAAAATATGAAGTCTGACATTCAACGTTTTATCCAACAGTGCTTACAGTGTCAGTTAAGAAAATTAGTACGTGTAAAGACAAAGCAACCGATGATCATCACCGATACTCCGGGCACTGTTTTCGATAAAATAGCCATGGATATAGTAGGACCATTACAGAAAACAAAGAAAGACAACGAGTATTTACTCACGATGCAAGATCAGCTGACCAAGTATTGTATAGCAGTACCTTTACCGGACGCTACAGCCATCCGCATAGCCGACGCCTTCGTAAAGCGGTTCATTTGTACTTTTGGAACCCCGAAGGCCGTGCTCACTGATCAAGGTCGAAACTTCCTAAGTAATTTATTGAGAGTAGTAGCCAAATACTTTCGGATCAAGAAAATCAGGACAACCGCTTTCCACCCCCAGTCCAATGGATCATTGGAACGGTCTCATCACGCCCTCGGGGAATATCTTAAACAATATGTCACCAAGGAATCAGAATGGGACGAATGGGTTGAGCTCGCAATGTATAATTATAACTCTAGCGTTCACGAAGGAACAAAACATACTCCTTACGAACTAGTTTTTGGAAAAATAGCCCGACTGCCCTCAGAAGAACCCCCTCTACCCGAAGAAAGCATTCCCACGTATCATGATTACCTTACCCAATTGATAACTCAACTCCATACCTTAAGAAGTTTAGCCACACAAAATTTAGTAACAGCCAAAGTGAAATCGAAGGAGTATTACGACCGCAAAATAAACCCGCAAAATTTCAAAGTAGGAGACTTCGTGTTCCTATTGAGGGGGACAAAACCCGGAATGTTTGACAACCATTACACAGGGCCCCACGAAATCCTGGAAATCTTGGACACAGGCAATATTAGAATCAAAATAAAGAAAAATACACGCATAGTACACGCAAACAGGCTACGGTACTCTCATGTTAGACAAGAAGCATAACGCTCGTCACATATCTACCTTCCAGATGATGCAGGAAGCAACAGTTACGTCGATACTAGGATTAACGACAGTCATCGCCCTCACCCACGCCATGATAGGATACGATTGCGGATCAAGGTCAACGAATATCACCACGTTATCACTCCTAGATGTTGGAGAATGCAACTTCCCACAACGAGATGTAAATGTCACAAGAACCTGCATCCAGTTGTTACAAATTAACGAATTCAACTCAGTGCACGTCAGACAGTGCAAAATCGAGGTGGACCGAACCGTTCGGAAATGCGGAATGTTTTCTCACACCATGGACGTTCGAAACGGAAAACATGTCTACGTAGAAGATGTGTCATGGGACACATGTATTAATATGCACTTATACGGCAGAGCTCAATTAGGACATACAACAGTTTCGGGAATTAAAGCCAACCAAACCACAACCAGACCAATTACACTGGCAGGATCTATCGACGAAAATGGAAATTGTAGAGGTACATCCTATTCCGACCCATACGGAAGTTGGGACGACGCTTTCGTACTGAGCTCCATAAAAATAACCCTGCGAGATTATAACGCAGCGGTGAACCTAGATACCAACAAAGTATACCTAAAATCCGGAGCCACCTGCGGAATGATGAGCGGACAATGTACAGATTTCGAAGGAGGAAGCACGTTTTGGAGCCCTGTCCCGACAGATGCCTGTTCATTTCGGAAGTATGGAGTATTGTACGAAGGACTAGCGGACAAGATCAACAGTCACGATGCGGAAAACAACCAAGTGATGTACTCGTTGATAACCAAGGATGTCACATTTGCCCTAACGTCAAGATCAAATTTGAAGGTCTGCGGATACACTCTGGTCAGAACAGAACACCCAAAACTCCTGATTTTCGAAACAACGAAAGGGGATACATTCATTCCCAAAGTAAAAATCGATGTCGCCAATTTGGATATCTTTACCTATGTTAACTCTAAATTTATATTCGTCGAAAAGCATATCCGGACGCAGGTCCAACAACTTTATTGGGATGTGTTGACACAAAAATGCAATCTGGAACGGGATGTGCTGAAAAATTCCTTATCCATCGCGACACAAGCACCGGACGAATTTGCGTACCAACTGATGAAGGGTCCTGGATATATGGCAGTTGTGGCCGGAGAAGTAGTTCATATTATAAAATGTATACCCGTAGATACCAAGGTACAGCAAACAGGGTTGTGCTATAACGAACTACCAGTCCGGATAGAAAATGCAACATTTTTCTTAAAACCACGGACATTCAACCGACTAGTACTCCTACATGGACCTACCGAAGCCCAGGAGCCCTGGCCACCAGTGGCATATACGACGAGAGCGAACTCGAGGAACTAAGGGACCACATCATGTTTCCTGCGGAGCGCCCAGCAGTACTCAATACCGTAGCCAGAGGAATCATGGGCCAGCCCGTTGTCCTACCGAGCGGCTCCATCTCTAACCTTCTGGATGAAACCACCCTAAATAGAATTGTTGAGAGTGCTTGGGATAAGACATGGGACAAATTTGTAAAATTCGGAAATCTGAGCGCCGGCCTAATTGGTGTCATTATTGTTATACGAGGCATAAAATTGCTGATGGATACTATAATCCATGGATATGCCCTGCATACGGTATACGGATGGTCCCTCTATCTCATTGGGGCTATATGGGATTCTGTAACCCACCTCCTTTTAGTACTGGGGAAAAGACCACCCAAACCTGTTCCACCAAGATCAGATGCAACTGCTAACCTGAGTCAGGACATAGCACTAACCGAGCAATTTATATCTGCGTCGCAGGAATCAGCACCGTTATACCCCGCGGTAGCACTAGAAAAGGAAAGACCGAGCGTCACCGATCCCAATCAAACACAATCAAATACACCTTCGTTTTTCTTCCTAAAACCATAAACGACGCGATGCACGACAACTCAGCACTAAGGAACATATATATTACGCAGGAGAAGCAGCTGAAAATGCCCGTGAGACACGGACTGGATGGCANACAGTCAACTAGAATGGATTGTGCGGTCTGGAAATCCAGACTTCGCCGATCTGACGGCCCATCAATTACACGGTAAGCGTATGTGCTCTGATCACTTTCAGATTTTTTATTTTTATTTATTCACAATTTTATATGTATTTTTAAATGATATCACATACCTTTGTAGCTAAATATTGCACACCAGGAGCTTCATTTAAGAATCGTTCAACATTTTGCGACGATAGAGTTTAAGATTTCTTGCTTCGAAATCCGTTTGACTTGCGTTTAAGAAACATTAACAAGTTGTAGGCACCGATGTTAAGGTTATGTCTCAGTTGTATCGTGCTTTTTAGCATTGAATAAGGCGCCCATAAAGCTGAAGGCCCCTAGGTCTGTGCGAGCTCTTGAAAATAAGTCAGCATGACCGATTCGGAAATGATTTTAGTGCTTCGCGTATTTTGCCACTCGCAAAATTTATTGTAACTAGCATGATATCGTTCCTTCGATTTTTACGGTAGTGAACCTTGGACGACATTGGCAGCGGTTTCTTCGATATCCGGCGGTGTTTTCCACTCGTCATCACTTTCATGCGTAGTCATTTTTACTATTAAAAACTCGATTTACTATTTTTACTATTTAACTCAATTTTTTCTTTCGCTCAGAGACCATCGGAGACTTTGGGCTCGCTAACTACAGTGAACGTAGCAAAACGCGATATCGTCTCGCTGTCACTGTTGTCGTTTTCGACCCACAAAACAGGGGCGAAAGTGAACGAAAATTCTCCCAAGGGTTGAAAATTGAGCAAGTAGACACAGCGCATACGCAGACCCAACTTTTCCATCACAGCATGAAATTAACAATATTCGACCTGCAAAACTGCCATGAAAAGCATCACATTTCATGCACGTGTTATAAAAAATACTTGAAGAGAAGTAATGTATACGCGTTATGCAGTTTTTCTAGGAAAAAAATTATTTGAACTATTTTGCGCCAAATAACAACAACAACGCCAACAACAACAACAACAACAACAACAACAATAACCGCCAATAATGAGATATGACATATATTTTTTACTATTACAGTATGTGCCGACGAATAATATACATTTTTCTTGAAATAAAACAGGTAAATTCTTCTCTTGATATCTGCAGAAATTAAATTAGATCTTTTTATTTCGATCACAGTTACGGAATCGTCGAATGACAATCAAGAAATGTGTGACGCAAATGAATAGATGAACCAAATCGTATGTCTTCTTATGCTGCTGTAAAAAAAACTCCTCAGGAAAGGAAGGAGCAAATTTATCGATCTTGCGTCCTAAAGAAATTATTAACGGGAACGCAACAATAGCGTGTTTCGAGAAAACGTTCAGCAAACAATACGAGATGCAGGTGCCACCAATAAGCGAATGGTTTTCATGAATCACGAACTTATCGTTTTTTATTTTAAGAGGGACCGGCTCGAATAATCATGGATCCGTGCAGCACTCCACGACTTCAGTCATTTGTCCACCTTAGTTCGGCTTACGGCGGAACTTTCTGCGTATGTACACAGTGCACCTGAGATCACCCATTGTGCTTTTGAGTGCCTAATTTGAAGCATGTGCATGTTCATGCTACTATATAATCTTACACGATCTCCACTCTTTGATAGCTAACTAATTTATGTAAATAATTATACAAAAAGTAATAATTATTAATAAACACTTTGCACCTTCGAAGCAGAATGTTGCTTGTTATGTGATTAAAATCCATTTCCTAAAAATATTTATTTTAACTAAGGATTATTTTGTAAATTTGCAGCCCAATATAAAAACATCATTGGTCCTCAGTTAAAGTAAAGTTTGGGCAGTTGTATCCGGTTTACAAAAATGCCAATAGAAACATTTTTGGTAAGGTACTTTAGTACAGGAATTCATATTTCATTTATCTGCGAAATTCTGCACGCAATATGAACACTTAAAAGTACATAAATACTGTTAAAAGAGGGAGATGTTCAAATAAAATATTCCTTACAACGGTACAATTTAAACGGCGCATCTGATAAATTGTACCACCAGGTGGGTAAATCATACTCTTCCATTATGATGTGGTTGGGTAATTTTACGGACGGCATTTGTTATCTGTTTTCACGACGCTGCAAAATATGTCAGAATGTTGCACGCATGGGCTACGATGGGGAAATAATAATTATAGGTACTAGATTTTTTAATGTAATAAAATAAATGTTGTAACGTGGTGGGCTCGATGCCCCCTCACGTTACGGGGAATTAGGTCCATCAGAGGATAGACCTGGTCCCCCGCACCCCTTATTTAGAATATGTGAGACGAAGGTGGTTCTCCGATTACCTCTTAGAGTTCGATGCTACTGGTCACTACTCCAGAAAAAATCCTACATGTCCTTTTAATGCTGCGTAGGGACAGGTGGGCTACGAGAAATCATTGATATCGGGACCTCTCTTTTGCTCTCTCTCTGTTCGACGGACACCTCACCAATATCAAAGCTAAGAGATGTTGGAGGGGAAAAGCCAATCGGGCCAGATTAATAATAATTCTAGGCTTCTGAGAACTTTAGGAACCAAAGTTACTTGGTGGTGCGGTCGAGCCGGGGCGGGCGGCGTCAAGGCCTAACCTCGAAAGGGACTCCGAGGATCGGACTGGCGGATCTTGGGGAAGCCAACATCGGCTTGGAAATCGTAGGCGAGGAGTCCGAAGGAGGACACTCGCGGTCCCTCGGCCGCAACCAAGAGCCTGTCACCGGCCCAGAAGTTGGAGGTGCCGGTTGACAGGCGAGGTTATGTTTCCCGGCTCGGGCACATGGGTGCCCGGGGACTGGTGAGCGGCCGGTAGGGAGGGACGGGCGACGCGCGCGCGCGGGATCCGGCGGCGGCCGGAAGCACGGCGTTGCTGGCCGGGAAGGACACCGCAAGGGGAGGTCCGGCCAATCAGGGGCAATTACGCAGAATTTGCCATTGATCCCCGGATGGCCTGAATCCCGCTCTGATGAGCGATCCGAGGCGCGTGCCCCGGGCCAATGGCCGAAGCTTTAGGATGCGCCGGCCAATCGGATCGGTCATCGGGTGGGAGAGGTGGCCGGCGTCGGGTGCCCGGCTCGCGCATGTTGCCGGGTAATAAAAAACAAAGGGAGCCTGGCTCCTTCTTCCTGGATGGCCCACCGGCGAGTGCGGACGTGCCAAAGAAGCGATTGTGATACGAATTTGAGTTTGAGAGAGAGAGACCAGAAACCTCGACGAGGCCCATTTTTTGGGAAACGTAAATTCAGTGACCGGTAGCAGCGAGGAGGACGCGATCGCGACGTATAATAAGTAGCGTTCTTTAGACCGAGAGCCCGCGACCCTGAATATTGTGAACCGCGAGCGTAGAGTCGCGAAGTAGAGTTTAGTGATTTCGCGTCGCCCGGCGGCGATTGGCGCCCATCCCGCGAGTGATAGTGTTCGGGCGTGGAGCTTTGTGACGGAAACCACGTCGCAATGTATAAGATTGGAGGTGAAAACATTATATTGTAAAACGCATGGAATTTCACAATAATCCGCTTTCCTTACATGAACATGAATAATGCATGCTTGGGAAACGATTAAATATTAATTAAGGGTACCCTGAGGATTTATCTATTACACTGTTCTCCTTATGTTACAACAAAATTGTCTACTTCACATTTCTTTATATTTATTATGGTTATATATTTTACTGCCTTAATGAGATGATTAATATTGCTTACTTATTTATTTATCAATAATTTTTTTTAATGCTTCCAATTTCATACATCTTTCATTGTTACAGTCAACTAGAATGGATTGTGCGGTCTGGAAATCCAGACTTCGCCGATCTGACGGCACATCACAATTACACGGTAAGCGTATGTGCTCTGATCACTTTCAGGAAAGCGATTTTTTTAACTACGGCACACTGAATTTAAAAAGATTGAAATCAACGGCTGTGCCCATTGGTGCGAATTTTTGTAGCAACAGTGAAAATTTCGATGTTAATATCTCTGAGCCACGGTCACCGGCACAGTTTTCCGCGGTTAATGATCAACCTAACCAAACTTCTGAAGAAGTTCTTTCCTCAAAATCCCCAATATCCGAAAGAATTTCTTCTCCATTACCTGAAACTTCCGAAGAAATTCCTACCCTAATACCCCAAACTTCGGAAGATAATCCTTGCATTCTCCCTGAAACTTCTTCAGTCGTTCTGGTGAAGAATATTGTAGAAAAATTGAAAATGTGCAGTAAATTTCGATTAACGAAAACCGTAAAAGATGTACGATATGCGATGACGCCTAGAAAAACACGACTGCTTAGAAAAGTACAAAAACAAAAATTTGTATTAAAATTGTTGCGCCAGAAATTACGGCGATGTAAAAATGCACAGAAGACGACACACGTAGACCCAACAGACTTGATACAAACCGCGGCTCACTATTTAAGTGAACACGCACTTTTATTATTGAAAATGTCAATTCGGAACATCAAAAAATGTAAATGGTTAGAGGACGAAAAGCAATTTGCTTTGTCACTGTATTATAAATCTCCGAAAGCGTATATGTTTCTAAGAAATGATAAGAAATTTGCTTTACCCTGTGTCCAATTAATTAGGAATTGGGTCAATGAATTAAATTTAACATCCGGAATATGCCCCGAGCTTTGCACTACATTAACGGCAAAAGCTCAAAAGATGTCGCGAGACGAAAGACAATGTGTTTTGATGTGGGACGAAATGAGCATTAGGATGGCCCTAGAATATGACGTGAAGCACGATGTGGTCGAGGGATACCAAGATCTCGGCGAACTTGGGCGTTCAGCTCAACTCGCCAGGTGCACCCTCGCATTCATGTTGCGCGGACTAATATTCAATTGGAAGCAACCTTTTGCTTATTACCTCTCGCACTCATTCCACGACAAGAC